ATGCTTTCAATGGTAAAAACAATGTAAATGTCTAAGCAAACTATAAAAATTAATTGAAAAAAAGAACATTAAACAAGCACGATAAGCAGATGGGAAGGCTGGCAAATCAATAAAACTTGACCGATTCAGCAGATGACGAGCTTGGGACAGAAAAGTGCACAGGGAGAGTAGTACATGTACTACACCTACGGGACTGTCTTCACGGTCAAAGTGACACCACAGAGACTGTGCATTGAATTCATAAGAGCGACTGTGACATGCCGCCCACAACCCCCTGACACCCCCCCCCCCCCCCCCCTCCTCCCAGATTCTCCAGCCAGTTCAACACAAGCTGCAGGTTTAAAAAAAAAAAAAAAGGTCTGGATCGACACGTGAAATGAGTCCTTATTGATATGACATTTCGCACTGAACATTCACTTTTGTATTGAAACCACGATGTTTTCAATTGAACATTCATTTTCGTCTTGAATTCAAGATATTTCGCATTGAACATTCATTTTCAAAACTGAAATCCATGATGTTTCGCACTAAACATTTCCTTATATATTGAACCCATGGCGTAGCTCAATCAGAAAGAGTTTCACCTCTAAGAAAACATTTCCAGAAGGTTGACCTGGTGAAACTAAGTGCCAAAAGCAAAAAAATATGCTGGTCACCAAGTTATAAAACGACTCTAAAGAATGAACAAATTATTACAAACATCAAGAAAAACCAAACTTCTAAAAATGAGAAAAGAGATAAGATAAACTTTCCTTTAATTAATTGATTCACGTGGGAAACCAAGACACATACAGCAATCTCTTCTGTCTGATAAGACTGAAGAACCAGACACGATGACCTTGAGACCTTTGGAAAGGAAGATACAATCCCAACAATCAAACGGATGAATTTTCCAACAATGACGCTACGCTCGTGTAAAGCAAGTAGGAAGCACCAGCGTACCAATACCACACAGAGCAGGAGCACGTGTCTGTCCGGCTGACCTCTGGAGCAGATAGGACAAGCTTCTCATTCTCGTTAGGGCGACAACTCACTTTTAAAATTGGGAAAGTTTTAAGCCCCCACTGACAAAATTTCGATGATTCAGGGAGAGGGCAACTTCTACCATACCTGTCAGGGCCAAATAGCGCTGAGACGGCTGCGGAATCTCACCAGAAAGACGGGAGATATTCAATAAAACAAGACTTCCCCACAAGGAATTTAAACTCTCATCTTCCCCACAAGGAATTCAAACTCTCATCTACAGCATGCTTTTTTGTTAGCACATAGAATGTGACAGGCCCTTGTAGATTTCCATGTCAAATTTGATACAGCAAAGATTTTTTAAAAAGAGGCCAAATTGACATAATGTGTTCTTGCATTGCCATCGCCCCTTTTCGACTTCCACATCAAATTTGATGAAGCAAAGATTGAAGAAAGAAGGCCAAATCGACAAAATGTGCTCTGGCACTGGCATTAATCAACCTGACCAGTCCCATTCAGCCATGCAGGTCAGATTCATTTGATTAACAGGTGTCCACTATTAAGAACATTGCAACATCCACGGTTTTGTTTACATGAAATAAGGAAAGAAGATATAATTTAATTGTTACAAATATTGCTTCCTGCGGGAAGGTAACAATTCTCTTGGGAGCTCAGGGCCTCCTGTGAGCTCTATGAGCTTACACATCACTTTCAACACAACGCGGGTCAATTTTAAGTGTCCTGGCCAAGGAGTATAACTGTCATGCCCATCATCAACAATTGGAGACAAGAGCGTCAATCAAATAAAAGCTTTCCACATAATCTAGTCTCATTTGTCAAATCTGACCGTGGCTAATGAGAACATCTACATTGGAATCAAAGGACTTTCTTTTCTACCTCATCGGCTACTTGCTGTACACAAATTTCAAATCAACATCATTGTGACGGACAGTGACTTGAGAATAAAATGTCTACAAATTTCTTTGCTTTCAATAAATCTTACCTTGAGCAGAACTAATAACAGGTGGTAGACACAGGCTACTACGTCCACTTAGCAAAACAAGAAAAAGGATGTCGCTGCTATCACGAGTAATCCACAAAGTCCAAATTTGGAGAACTTTCAAGTTTTACAACACTCTCCCAAAGCTCTATTACAGAAGATGCACCTTTCAACATCACCAAAATGCAGTATAACGCTATGGTCAAGGCATAACAATTTCCATACCTTTCGTGATTACTGATTGGAACAACACAACAAAAACTAGTTTTTTCGTCTCCAATGTAAAAAGTACCCAAACGGATTTAAGTGGATTGCTTGCATCACCGACGATGTAATTCTCACGGTACAGACTACAACAAACACCACGTTACATTTACAGTTACTGCATTATGTATTTTTAGCACGCACCCCATGCAGGCTCTGGACATGAGATTGAAACCACCACTTACACACCACCACAACAAGACGTCATTTACAGCTTACCCCACCATCTCAGCCAAAGCCTTTGAAAAAAAAAAGTATTTTTTTTCATTATAGTTAGATGTTTTATTACACGTAAAGTCACTCGTACACACTGACTCTTGGATCAGAGAGCCAACAAACACTGTAGTGTCGAGGCTCATAAGGAAAACAGGTAAGGCGCTTGAGTCGGGACATTAAGGTGAGCAAGCCGGGAACAGATTTAAATAACAGGAAGAAGAAAAAAAAAAAAAGAAAAAGAAATTAAAGGAGCAGACCACACCAGAGTGCCCATCATCAGCAATGGGCTAATCTGGCAATATGAAAAAATATTTCTGAACAAGGGTCAGAATTTTAAGAATAAGATGTATCTGAAAGTTACTTTCTGCTGCTGCAAAAAAAAGTAGACTCTTCAAAGTAAAAAAAAACCCAATTATGCACACACACACACCACATAATAATTGAAAATATCGCCAAACATCTCATAATACTTGAAAATATCTACACACACACCACATGATATGTGAAAATATACACACACACACAATACGATACATGAAAATATACACTAAAAAATTCAAATCACAGAACTGAGTGCTCAAAGCAAGACAGACGAACAAGACATAAGTGGAAGCCATAAACTTCAATTGAATTCTCTGAACAATTTCATCTCTGAACAGCAAAACTCTCTGATTTCCATCACAAAATCTAGATTCGCATGTACTGTGTCGTTCTGGCAATTCCTACATATTGTCACACAATAAAAGACAAACAAACTGGTTTTTATTGGAATCATTAAATAAATACTACCCTGCCTGTGAAAACATACAACTTCTTTTTTTCTCATGAATTGCTTCTCCTGATACATACAAAGACTAAAAGTTGATTATAATAAAATACTGAATTAATATGTAAAAAAGGATTAATATTTGGTTGTTAATATATTTTTAAAAAGAAAGCAATCCATCACAGGAAGGGTATGATGCATTACATGCAAAATCGAATTCTCGAATTCCTTTAACTGAGATGAGCTGGAATGCACAATTAAGGGTTTTTTTAATTGTAAATTGTATGCCCAGTAACGAAACCGGAACTTTAAAAACAATTACGAAATGCCGGAGCACCTTGTAACATCGTTAGGGCATAAAAACATTCAAGGAACAACATACAGCATGAGAATCAACACTAGATGGCGAGAAAAAGCCATTATTATAATGCCGCTGTAATAATAAGCAGGACACAAAATGCTCTCAGTCTCAGTAACTGAGCAGATGCCCGTCTTGCAGGCCATTAAATTATTCACTTTCATCATAAAAAGTCTCAACTTTTCCCCGATCCTGCTTGGGGAAATATTTCGGAGCGGAAGCAACGTTGAGCGCAAAGTGAAATAAATATTGCACAGAGAAGCTTCATGGAAAAACGCTGACAGACAAAATGTAGGGGCGGGAAGAGCATAAGCTGACCAGCACCATGACTATTGATTACTGCTACACCCATCTAAATACACAGCCCGTGCATGCATGTCTCGCGGTCAAAGAAATAATACAAAACTTTTCACTTTATCCAATTTACAAAGCGCTTTTTCTACCCTTAGGTGACGAAAGCTCTTCAGAAACAAACCAAACTGGCACAAAAAGAATTCGTTACCAGCATGCTTTCCAGCATTACAGCATTTGCAGACGAAAAACTTATACAGGCTGTTTTAGAGAGAACAGCATAAAACAAATTAAATACACCCAAGGGGTCTTAAGATCAGAATTAAATTCTGTATACCCTGTAGGTGACTAGTACTAGTAAATACCATCGAGCAATTGCCAAGTATTGTTCATCAACTATGCAGGGTCAGGGCCAGACAAATACACCGGGAACTGAAATGTGAAACAACAACAAGCTCACCCATGCTCCTTCACTTCTGACTAGTCGGACAAATCAAATCCCTAAACTTGCGCTGCTCACTCTTCATTACAATGGCATATCCTACATTGACAACACTGCTACCGCCATTGATGTGCTAGCACTGTAATTTGTAAACTGAAAATACAAATAAAGTTATATCTTTCTACCAACCATCTCTTCCCTTGCGACCAGACACAGAATACATTATAGTATATCCTAGAAATTCTTTTTCTTACACAGAATACAAAAAAACCCAACAAAACAACAACTCAATGCCTACATGCCTTGGCCATGTAAAAATAAAACAAAACAGTTTTTCATTTTCATATTACAACCCCACAGGCATTTGTTGTTTTTTGACCATCATTTGAGAATTGTTTCCATGGAAAGTTTTTTAATGTGACCTCTATGGCTGCCGATTTTAGGAGAAATGGCTGAGCTATGGCTAAATTTCTAAACTGCCAGAAAAATGAAGATGGTGTTTATGCAAGATTCTGAGGTTCTTGACTTTTCCTCTCTGACAATCACAATCTCACTGAGAGGGGGGGGGGGA